TGACCTTGCCACCCACCATTATGCATGGCACCAACATCATTTCACATATTTGAACGTTTAAAACCACAAAAAGACTGGAAACCGCGGATAATGTGAGCTGGCATACGCCGAATCGCGATTCCGGCCAAACATGGTCTCGAGAAATATGCCACAGGTCAAAGGTCAGTTGGGTCAGAGTCATGAAATTTTTAGGTTAGATGTAATATTGATGATCTCGAGGGCACCGAAAGTTTCGGCGCGATCGGCCGCTTTTTGCGCGAGTAATTTGCGGAAAACCATGGGGTTTTATCCGACCCCTTCCCCCTCCCCCTCCCCACAAGTGCGATGGTTAATAAGGTTACGGTATGTATAATTTACGCTTGTCATCCTATTCCTAATGAATGTGTCTCAGAAAATATGCATCATATAAATCACGAAGTAAAATTATTCGCCTATGTCCGGAACATACCTATATCGTGCTGTTTCCCCTAGCGCTCCTCGAGTGGGGTGTTAAGATACTCTAATGTGAATATTCCGTGTTCAGGCAAGTTTCGGCAGCCAAACTAGGCGTTGTCTTGTGCAGGAGAAAGTGGCGAATTCGATAGGATATATTTCGGAGTGGAAAAGTGTGGAGAACATTGTTGATTTCCTACATTTATTTAGAATACCATTCCTTCAATATGGTGTCTGTAAGGGTTTTTTGTAAAGGGCATTTTTGTGTCCTTAGTAAGGTTGTGGCATACTTTCTGTTTGCCATTCCATTCCTAATAAAGGTGCCTTTCAGACGATATGCAACTTTAAGACCTCGCAAGATTAAAACCAACAGGACAGGACAATGAAATTGAGCTATACTTTCGGGCCTTGCTGAGCCCATTGAGTAATCACGCATGAGTGTGAACTTTGGGCGCATTTTTCCTAGTTTTGCTGTAGACATACAGATAAAACAATGCCATATATGAAAAATTCAGACATTTCTTAGCCCCACTGACACAAAAAATAAACAAAAATCCAAAAAAGATTTTTTGAATTAATAGGCGCTAGATCGGAAAAATCCCCACTGTGCAGTGTAGTGAACTTGCCTGTATACTGAACGCACAAAACTTCCGTGATTATAATGTGGGTGCTCGCTTCCATTTGACTTTATGGATCATTAGTTATGCTCAGTTCTCCGTTACTCGAGCCAGTGCGGCACAGCGTAGGATCGGGCGCTTGAGCTCTGCGGCGCAGTCTACCTTCCGGCGTTCCTCATACTGCCATCTACCGGCAGCAATGTCAACTAATGTGCGTACGGTGCGTACTAATGTACAACGCGTACGGTCCATCGGCTCGCCTGGCATTGAAGCGACTCACGACGATCATGCTTTGAATTTTGTGCCTGATACAGCTTTCTGTTAGCAACTCTTCGCCCTTCGGTCTTTTTATTTCGGTCTGCTGCTGGTCCTTGGGCCACTGGCAATGAAGCTTCGGTCCCTGAGCCACCGTCAGTGAATCGTGGATCCCTTGAGCCGTCTTGTCAATGAACCTTGGATTCATGGGGCGGCTGTCAGCAGGCCGTCTGTCCATGTCGGCGAATCTTCGGTCCCTAAGCCAGTCAGTCAGTCCGCCATAGATCCCTGGACCACTGGCAGCGTGCGTTCAGACCCTGAACCATCTTGTCAGTGAGCCGTAGGTCCCCGGGCCGCTGTCGGGGTGCCCTGGACGGCCTGTCGACGAATCCAGCCGGCGACGCCTGCTGCCCCCGGGGGAGCTGTAGACCTGCGATGGACCGGTCCGGCGGCCGGCCGGACGTCCGTCAGTGTCAGGGTGCTTGTCACTGGGAGCTGAGGTTCGCTGACCCGGCTGGCGAGCAACTGAGTCGCCACACCAGTCGGAAATGGTCGCGAACACGCTAGTGTGGCACTGGAACAGGTCATTATCGCCCCCGCTGGAATGGTTTGTGGAGATGTCTGATAAAACGTGTATTTGTCTCTGTAAGGGATGAATGGCGAAGACGGCAGGCTGGATGAGAGGTGACGGTCAGCGCAGTGCCCGCGGCTTCCGTATCCGGAAACTAGCGTGGACAATGGATGTAACTTTTGCATGGTGTGTCCGGTCTGTGCCATGCCCGATGGCCGGTCTGCCGTTATATCGCTTAGAGAAGATGGTGCTGCTCGAATTCGAATTCGAAACCGCGCTATTATTCGAGTGATTTCCAATGATGTGCCGTGATGGAGCCGCGTGGCCGGCGGAGCATGTAGGGAGAACAACCAACCGTAATGTCGCGAATCGGACGAATGGAGTCACTTCCGTGGAACAGGGCGATGAGCAAGGTGGCCCACTGTCGAGAATAGCACGACCCTGGTTTGTCAGAAGGCCTGACTGGGGTCACATAATGTCACACTCCCGACATCACGCCGCTTGGACGGCCCGTGTGACCCGGGCCGACCCGCCGGCGATCGTAATGACCAGCTCACTGGCCGGACCTCAAACGAAGGCACTTGGCGGCCCATCGGCACCGGAGCGCGGCCCGCCAGCCAACTGATGACCGCCAATCAGGCCGTGAAGAGGCGCCGCTCGTCTTGGCTCGATTCCAGCCCAGCCGTTAGGCGGCCATGGCTCATCGGCCTGACGGAGGCGCCACGTTGTCGACGGACCCGAATCGCTTCCGCTGTTTGATGGGGTCGGAATACGTGCGTGCCACGCATGGGTCACTAACGGGTCGCGGCGTGGGACTCGTAGATGACTGGCTGTTCTGCGTGTCGGTATGTTTCCGGATAGAGTGACGCAGACGGTTAGTCCCGAGACGAGAGTGGTGGCAGAGAGGGTGAGAGGAATCGGTGGCGAGGCGCTGATGGCCGGTGCGGAAGTGTTTCCGATATCTCGCCGTTAGCTGCGTCCTTGGTGGGCTCTGCCGGGGAAGTGAGAGCAGCACGTGTCGAGTGTCATCCCATCCCGTCTGCTGGACCGACACCGGACGTAGCCCGGGGGTCGGCACGGCACCGATGCGTGATTCTCACGCTCGATCGATGGCAGTCGGTGGGAGGCTGCCGCTGCCGCTGCCGGCGGGCGGTACGGGCGGCGACTGCGCGTCGGCCGCGCGAACGGGGTGGCGCCGGCCGGCCGCCCGGACCGGTCCCAGGACACGGAGCGCCGCGGCCGCCGCCAGCGGCAGCCGCTCACCGGCGGCCAGTGTCGCCCGGCCGCCGCCGCCGCCGCACGCTGCTCGGTGACCGCCGCGCGCCCGCCCTGTGAGAGTGTCGGCCCGCCGCTACCGGTGTATGCCCCGCCGTCGGCCGGGAGTCGTGGTCGTGTTCTCATCCACGGGCCCGGCGGCGGCCACGCTGGCGGCGGTGCGGCCGCGCGCGTCGGCCGACTCCGTGGACGGCTCGCCGGTGCTGGTGGAGCGCCGTGTCCGCTCGCCGCCCAGCTCGCTGGCCGTGGTGCCGGCGGCGCTGCCCGGCGCCGGGCCGGGCTCGCCGGCCGGCGGCGGGCTGCGGGCGGCCGCCGCGCTCGTCTCCACACCGCCGCGGGCTATGGTCGAGCCGATGAAGCGGCGGCTGAAGAGGTTGTTCACTGTGTCGGACGGCTCGGATCAGTCGCACTCGGACTCGGAGGATAGTGGCGCAGAGGACAGGTGAGAAGGGATAACTCGAGTCTGTCGACGACGAGCTGAGTGGCTGAAAGGTCGGGCAGTTCCTCTGTGGTCAACTAAGACTGCGCTACAGCGGACACTCGCTTGGAGACTGGTCTTTACGCTGGTCCCTATCAATCTCTGTAGCTCCATGCTGGTATAAAGATTGAGACCATGAACTTCAAGATGCTTCCGAACGGTAGGCTTCTGACGTTGGGGGAGTGGCCGTTCCCACTCGACCGTATCCGCATCGAGCCGACAGTTATTTACACGTCTTTTGTTGACTTTGTTGTCGCTTAAGCCGCCACGGCGGTCAGCCGGACGTTTTTGTCGGTGGCGTGTCACGGAATCTTATCTACCGTTATAGTCCGGAGCCGGTGACGGGCCTGCCTGTTGGTTTCCTTAGTCGCTCGTCTTTGGGCCGAACGGACAGGCTCTCAGGAATTTGAACGGCTTTGGGCGACAGCCGACACATGGAAATTAGTGCGAATCTAGCTCTTAGTGTTTTGCTCTAGCTGAAAATTGTAGCTTTGTTATCAGTTGCGAATTTTCGGTTCGTGCTGGACAAATAAGCGTTATCTAGTAATTAGGCTTTCTTAGCCTGACAGAGCTCGTTTCATTATCGCAGTCGTGAGTCGTGACGCATGTTGCGAGCGTTGCCTTTGTTTCCTTCTCTGATAATTTCGAGAGTTATGTGGGTGTATAAGTGATGGCAATCCACAATCATGCTTGTAATGCTGCACATTCAAGAAAGCACACCAAGCACCTCTTTGCCATACCATCGCTTTGGGACATGGAAGACTTTTGTCCGACGTCGCCATCATTTATAAACATGACCGCTTTAGCGCCGGGATTTATTTGCTCAGTTCGTGGTAGGTATAGCACATCATAAACCAATGTGTTTTGTTTATTGTTCTGTAGTGAAGAGCTCTCAGTCACTCCAGCACTCTGCCTACAAATTAACAACGGTCAGCTATCTTCAGCTCAGGATGGCATGACATTTTCCACTTCGCGCCCCTCGTGCTATAGTTCAGTGTTGCCGCGAGTACCACTGCCGTCTGCCTGCTCTCAGATACGCCACTCATTCGTCGATAATCCCCTCCCAGCACTATCTGAGCCGCCACGGCCGTGAACCACTTCTCGATAGCATTGTTATGAGCTGCGGTCCGTGGATGGAGTGGCTCGCACGCGATAGGTGGCCGCTGACACCTGCTGGGTGCCGCCGCGCGCTGTGCGTGCCTCAGCTGGGGACAGAGGGGGAGGGGGAGGGTGATAGGGAGCAGATCCGGTCCGTCGCTCTGTGTGCTCGCTGATGTACGCCACGATGATAGGGTACGGTGTGGGCTAATGCATTACTGATGGCGGGAGGTGTGTTCCTATGCTGACCGGGTGATGTCTCCCTCTGTTTCAGTGATGTCGATCTCGACAGTCAGGGACTATGCAACAACAACCACTCTGGGAGTTCGTCCAACTCCAGCCTCTCGGCACGGTGAGTTCTCACCCAGCCCCCATCGGGCGCGTGTGTAATGATGAGTGATTATCCCGTACCTTCCATTCCGTCCATCCCTTGTGTAAAAGAGTGAGCCGATGTGCGTGATATCGGGTCGTTAGTGTTACGTGCATATTGTTAATTTGCTGTGTCACGCTAGACATGTCGCATGCCTCCCGGGGTTAAACTGGATCGATGGCGACTGGCTGGTACGCCGATCTTTGCACCGGCTCTTACGGATGTAGGACTGCTGCGACTACTTTGCTCGTCTGAATGGCGCTACAACACGTGGCTGCCTACTGTCATCAAGTCTGTTCTGATCGCCCAGTCACCAAGTGGCCCGTCTCTCTTTGTCGTGGCTTCACGTCTCCGCCTGGGTCGCCTTGTCGTGGCTTCGCGACTCACCGCCGTGCCGATCCGGCGAGCGATGTGGAACCTGGCTTTGATACGGATCGCCTCACCCGAGGCTGGTCTGTCGGGACGCGAACTAAGACGTCAGATGACCTCATCCGGCGCAGATCGTGCGGACGGGATCGGCGGATGATCCGCGGAAGATCGCCGCCGGATCGCGGAGGATCGCCAAGATCGCCGAGATCGCCGTTCGCCAGATGATGACATAACGCTCAAAGTCAGTCAGTTTGAAGAAATTTGACTGAGTTAACTATCGATGTAGCCGATGGCATAGTTCACACTGATATCTCGGCAGATCTCCCAAAGCGATTATGTTTTTAGCCTCATCGAGTGACGGCTGAGAGGCCGCAGCAGTGTGCGAGTGATCTGCGGTCGGCCGGTAGGGTAGGTCGGAAACTCGGAACTCTGAGCGACGTCAGCCGACGGGGAGGCAATCCAATCAGGACGACGAGCGGACGCCTTTATGGCGGCCGGCCTGATTGGCTGTCGGACGGGCCACGGTGTCGGTGGTATCCCCCGGAGCTCAGGAGGCGCCGGCACGCGTTCAACGGGGTGTTCTTGACGTGGACTCAGGCACCGCTTGCGTGGATAAAGTAGTCGAGTCACGGAATGCCTGGATGGATGACGAACTCAGAAGCCACGGAATACCCTGCGCACGGGAACAAAAAGAGAGTAATGAAGGGTGTTGGGCAGCCCGGTCGCTGGGGACGTGTGCATCCAATGTGACTGATGATGACCAATGAGAGGTGTTGGGAGAAAAGAGCTGTTCTTTGGTCTGACTGTACCATGCGTCATTAGTATGTGATGTAACACCAGGATCCCTACCTTGGTGGCTATTTTGGTTGAGCTCCAGGAATGCACTTAATGAATCCCAGAAGACATTGGCAATGACGCAGCTCGCGCAGGTATTAGCCTAGATTGCCTGTTGAATGTCAGGTCCCTATTTTTGGTGGGCCAGGATCTGGCATCTGGCGATTAGAATGGATCATTCTGACGTGCGTCATTAGAGCTGTCGCTCAGCAGGTGCGTGATGGCTTTAAGCGTAGAAGTTGGCATGGGCACTCCCTTCGCCATGAGCATTCCGTGTCCATCTGAAGTTATTTCTGTCTGTGTGGTCTTGATGCGGACTACTTGGATTGTGTATTGTGACTTATGCAAGTGCAGGGTTTGTTTGTTTACTTGGTACCTAATGGAGTCGAGACGTCTTCTGTGATCGGAGCGCTGCTTGTTGTGTTGTGTGACCGTCTGAATTCCAGAGCCTTTGGTCTGTCTTTACGGCCTCCAATATCCCGTCGCCCACGTCACGAGATATATTTACGCGACGTGCCTCTAGAATGAATGAAGTGCCGCTCACGCGACTGAAGTGACGGGAATCCGTCACGTACTAAGATAATGGCCGCGGCCCAAAGTTTGAATGGCCAAACATCGCTGCTCTTGACAAAGAAACGCGACAAGTGATTAAGCTTTGATGACTTTTGAAGACTGATGCAGATCACTGCAGCCAGGATCGCTCCCCGGCGTGCTATCCGCCTGTGTGTCACGTATCGCAGCCAGCCCGCGCTGCGGACCGTGGCGACTGTGTGCGCCGCTGCGGACGGCCGTTTGGACAGTCGACCGACGGCAAATATTGGAGCAGGCCAGCAGCCAGATGATGCCCAATTGATTCCTGGTACCGGCCCGACCCGGACCGCAGCCGCCGCCGGAAGGATGGACGGACGCGGGCGGGCGGACGGGCTAACGGGTTAACGTGCGTCAGTTTTCGTTGCAATAGTCTGCCAGCATTAGGCATTGGAAGCTCACTCCCATGCTGAGTCTACGTCTTTTTAGATGCATCGACAGTCCTGTGTGGCTCTATTGGGCGACAGTATCGGCTGGCCTGACTCGTCGAGTGCTCGACAATCGGCTCTGACGCGTCCCCGGGAGACTTGTGGTCCCAGGAGGCCGAAATCCATCAATTGGGCTGATGTGGATCAGGTCGATCGGCGATCGGGCTGTCTGTGCCGCTGTCAATTGGTGGTAAACGGCCGGCCGCGCTGCCGCCGCCGATTGTGATGAGTGCAGCTCGTAAAGGTCAGCTCAGAGCGGGGGCGGAGCTGGGGACACTGGCGGCGCGCCAGGCTGTCGGCAGGATAAATCCCACAGACTTAGAGCTGCCCTGATGAGCGGGAGGGGCGCCATCGCGCGGCGTGACCAAGCGGCGCAGCGCGTCAGTGGGCCTACGAACGGTGCAGATACACAGAAATCGACCTAACAGCGTGACAAGGCGACCGACTGGTATGCCTTTCTTACGGAGACATCCTGTCTACATCATGTCTTTGAGGCATTAAACAACGATGCTCTGCCTATGGGTGGTCCGTTGGATCGGCACCATGGTCACTGAACGGACCTCATGAGTCAGCCGTGTCGTGATGGACCGCTGCCTGGGCGGCTGGATCGTCATCGCGTCATCGCATCACTCATGCAACTCCAGGCTTAGCGATCATGCTGAGCTGCCGCCCATACACTCGCCGTACATGCGTCGAATGCGTGTTACACAGTGTTACGGATCAATGTACGGCTATCGTTGGTTTTGTACACACTGTGTGGATCGAAACTCACTGTGAATGCGTTTTTAGTCTTCATACGGTCAGGAGAGCTGTTGCGGGTCCATGTGTAGCCTATAGTATCCGCTGGAGTCCTGACATGACACCCTGTCGGGTTATGTGACAATACCACTCCCAACTGGTGTGTTTTTGCGGTTTGCATCCAGTCTGACACTCTGTGATGTCCAGCCAATCGTGCTGTATACATGATGTTCCTGACTGTTTTTATAGATTACCTTGCTATCAGCCCCAAAGCCAGTCAGGCCTTGTGACCTGTTCCATAGCCAGTGTACCCCCTTCCTCCCCCACAGCTAGTCAAACTCTCTATCATCCTCCCCACAGTCATTCTGATCTCTGTATTCCACCCCACAGCCAGTCTAGCCCCTGTGACCATCGTCATACCCATTCCGACCCTTCTACCCCGAAACTTTCTGACCCGCTGTATTCCCGGCCCCACAGCCAGGAGAGCCCGTCGGCGTCTCTGGACACGGTGTCGGTCGGGGGCCGGGTGGCCGGCACCCTGGCAGAGGGCACACCCGGCTGGGACTCGGATATGGAGGTGGACGCCGACCCGCCCGACTGGCAGCGCTCCATTGACGCCGAGACCCGCCGCCACCTCCGGCCCAAGGAGAAACAGCGGCTCGATGTCGTCAACGGTGAGAAACACTGTCGTAGTGTGTGTGTGGGAGAGGGGGGATAGAGAACGCGTTAGGTGTGGTAGCGAGCTTTGACCAAGCTGTGCGACTAGGCATCAATATACGAGGGGGGAGCTCGTATTGCGCTAGTCGTCTTATCTTTTTTTTTTCAAGTTTTGGGGCTCATTCATGCTCTGTACTATTCTTAGTGTTCCTGATACATATTTATTGGTAGCATTTACTCGGAATCGTTTTGAAGCAGCTTGTTTTGTTTCCAGTGAATGGGTCTGACTGTGCTGAATGCACCAGACATCCTCACAGCCCGATTACGTTGTTTGTATGTGTTACGATGAATGACCAAGATATAACAATGCGGGCAGCCTCATCAATAGCTGCAACAGATGGCCCCGGTCGCTTTATTATTCGATACATCTCCTGACTAGGAGGAGGGGGAGTGTGGGGAAGGAGACGGGCGTGGTACTGCACGCTTTTGGTCGCGGTCGCCGACCGGTTTTGACCGGGAGCAGCCGAATTGGGCTGGTGACAGCGCCATTACGATTTATGACGCCCGATATTGAGCTTCATATTCAGAGTCGACAGCAGGCCTCTGACAAAGCGTTTTGCGTAGGTGGCCAATTGGCAGTGGATTCAGAAGTCAGCATGGCGTGTTATCCAGGCATTGAATAATGAATATGGAACAAAATTATCGCAAAAATTGAGAGATAGTTTTGACGTGAAATGACCCTGTAACAATGACCGCAAAAGCATGACTCTTGGTTTTCGGACTGATCCGTAGTCAATTGTGATGCAAGGTACCCGATCTAGGTCTGTTAGTTTGGTTGACCCTATGGTGCTAATTGGCATCAGGGGAGAAGCGTTGATGTGCTTCAAAGTGCAGTGATCAGGTTTGTGTATTGCCCCGGAAAATTGGTGTTTGTCTGTTATGTGAATACGCCTTCTAGGCGAAGTGCTCAATTACGTCCCTTCCCACGACCCCCGTCGCTTCCCGATAGCGATAGGTTCGGCTCCGTACCGCCGCTGCCTGATGGAATGTCGGCGGTGGGCAGATATTGCTTCCGCCGCTCTGTGTGACTCCGTCTGTCTGTCTGTCTGTCTGTGTGTAGGCGTGGGTGTGGGTGTGGGTTGGGTGCCTGGATCAGGGTGTCACTGGGGCAGTATTGGGCCGCTGCGTTCATCCTTAGCACAAGAAGAGCAGTAAGCGACCGGGTCCATCCGTACCGCTGCCCGTTATCACACTGAGAGCTGCCCCATACTCCCCGCAGTGCCGACCGGTGCCTGATGGAGACCGTATCACTCATCGATCGGTGCGACACATATGGGAAAGGCCGGCGGAAACGCTGATGCAAAACTGCGGTAGCGACTGCTCGTACATACAGGGATAGGGAGAGAGTGGGTCTGGGTGACTGTGGGCCTTTCGAGCGCTGAAGGCCCTGTGTGCATCAGGCTTTTATGTGCGCTTGGACTCTCAGGGTGTATTTCTCTGTAGTCAGAGAGTTTCTACAGGCTAGGCCATGTCAGCTTAAAATTGTGTAGATTCGATTTCGATGCGTAAGGTGGTCGTTTCGCGTTCCGCTCCGTCTTGTAACTGGCCACTACCTTGAAGGGCTGTGCCGTGGCCTTCTACCTCCCCATGGGACACCGTGCACACACAGAGTCGACGGAGTGGGGTGTGCTATCCGGCACACGGCACACAGCTGGGAGTTGTACTGCGGTCCCACGTCAATTACCCAGGCTCTACCGGGACCCGGGACACGATCTCTTGTTGTGGAAATTTTGGCAGGGTGGTTCGCGTTGTGCATTTTCGTATCCGTAAGTGTGTGCGTTTTCTGGTATAGGTATTTCTTGTGTTATCTTCAACCAGCTCGGACTCGGAGTGTAATCGCCACGCCGATTGTGGATTGCTCTTGATCGTCAATACATACATACATACATACAAAGCTACTCAGTTGTAGCTTTTAAAAGTTTGGAGCGTGTTTGCAGTTTCAATAACCTGTGTTTTCTGTCTTTTCAGAGCTGTTCCACACAGAACGAACCCACGTTCGAAATCTGAAGGTGTTGGTTCATCTGTTTAACCGGCCGATGATCAACCTCAACATTCTGCAACCCAACGACATCAACCTGCTGTTCGGTAAGTGGTCTCCCTTCAGTAATTAGCTAGTCTCGGGGACAGGATGGTCGTGAGGAGTGCTAGCATTCCGGGATGACTTGGCGCAACAATCGCTAGAACTATTACCACATGAGGTGTCTTGTTCCTCACTGGGTCTCTTGACCTCACTAATGCTACTGAAGGATTGCATTGTCTGTAATTCTAATCGTTGTGTCTGCGCTTTTACCAGGTAACCTCGAAGAATTGTTGGAGATTCACTCGAGGTTTAACGCGGCAATGAAGAAGCGGCAGAAGGAGGACCCCATGATGGAGAAAGTCGGCGACATTCTCGTCAACATGGTGAGCTATGGGCGATTTCTTACGTCCCGTGCCAACCCCAGACACCGATGGTAATCAGTTAGTTTGTTTTGCTAGTGACGACACGGGATTGCGCTCATCCAGCCAGCTCAGTATTACCATACGTTGAGCCATTATCTCATGGAACGCAACACCTTTGCACCATGACGATCCCACTGGTACTGCTGTATGGGCTTACTGAGTCTCTTGAAAAGCTTGTTCTCCCTGCGCTGAAGCGCGTCTTTTAGTCGATAATATCGTGTAGCTGATGTATTCTGACAGTTTGCTATGGAACGTGGCTTCCCTTTGTCCACGCCGTCCATCTCTTATCGTTTCCACTCTGTCCAATCACACTCTATCGTCTCTGATATTGAACTCGTTTGTCAGTATCGCCCGGTCATTCGTGTCCTTTGGCGGTCTGATACCCGTTACACGCCTTGTGGTTACCGAGAACCGGTGAGGAAAATCGCCCACGGGCGCCAGGCCTGGCCCCGCCCCGGGTCGTCTCCGCTCGGCCTTGGCTGACCTCTGTCCATCCTCCCGTCAGTTCGAAGGCGAACAGGGCGAGAGCTTCAAGACGGCGGCGGCCGCCTTCTGCCGGTGTCAGTCGATCGCGCTGGAGAAGCTGAAGACGCTCCAGAAGCGCGACCAGCGGCTGGCGGCGTTCCTGGCGGAGGCGGAGAGCGACCCGGTCTGCCGACGACTGCAGCTCAAGGACATCCTGCCGACGGCCATGCAGCGGCTGACCAAGTATCCGCTGCTGCTGACCAACCTGGCCAAGTACACGGTCCGCGGCTCCGAGGACCACGCGCTCGTACTGCGCTGCTGTGAGAAGAGCAAGGCCATCCTGGAGCATGTCAACAAGGTGAGAGTGCGCAACAGGCAAGGGATGGGAGAGGGGTGAAGAAAGATACGAGAGAGGGTCGGTTACGGAGTGGGAGATTGGTGGGAGACATGCGTTCTGTCAGGAGACAACCGGAGAATGGGCTTACTTATATGAATGAACTTAGCTTACTTTTATTTAACTGGCCTATTTTTTTCATGTGTGCAGGTGTTGGTTTGAGTGGATCAGTGTTATGTAAGGTGAGCTTGGAATTGATTATCATTATTGAGGCGCCAGAGCAGCTGTCTTACTTCGTTGAGCAGCATGGGGTGACCGGAATTTCCATGGTAACTAACTTCACGGCGACTTACCACGCCGCTTAAGGAAACTTTCCAAATGCAGCGACGGCCAATTTGACAAATAGAAACGCCTTGAAAAGTGAGTGTACCTGTATGAATCACGGCCCAGTTTTCCTCGGTCCACGGTACGACTATATGAACGTCCTTTGAAAAGTTCGCGCCTGGCCAGTCGCGGCGACAATTACCGACATGGAATATGCATGGCGAGGGTCTGACAAGGAACCGGTTGTCGGCTCGGTTGTCGCCTGGACGGCCGTGTGGTCGGGGTGGTTTTGGGTGCCGCAGCTGTCGTGAGGACGGCGGTGGGCAGTGTGTCGGCAATCGGCCCAGTTCTGTGGCCGATCGTGGTGGCTACTGCATCTGTGGGGCTAAGATGGGCTGGCGAAGGCGGGTGGGTTTACCAGACTTAACCAGATCTGTGGTGATATTTTTAACAAAATGGTGATATTCTCGGTCTGGATTGTTGCAATGATTGTTTTTCTGTATGTGGTGTATTCTGTTTGTGAACCCTTGTGACCTGTTGTGACCTCCAATAACACCTGGTGACCTCTTCTCCCCGCCCCAGGTCAAGGGTGAGACGGAGCGGCACGAGCGGCTGGTCGAGATCCAGAACAAGCTGGAACAGAACGGCTTCAGCCGCGTCGACAACCCCATCGTCAACGAGTTCAACGGCGTGAGTAGACGAAGGAAATCGCTGCTCAGAGTAGTCGACCTGGGGACCGATGTCCGTCCTTAGACATTTTGGTCTGGCTCTATCATTTTTTTTTTCTCTTTTTTTTTAGATATTCTTGTTTGTTACCTAATGTGCATCGGCGCTTTGGAGAGCTTCTGGTCACGACTCTCTTAGTCCTCCCCGTTTCGCACGGATTTTAGACAATAAAAAATCCTTGCCGATGCATGTATTCAGTTACTAATTACGTTTGTGTATGGGGGTGTGCCTGTGTTCGGCTCCTTATATTTAGCATTATATCCCGTCCAGCTCAGTAACGCCTAGAGTTGTGGTTGACTGTGACTCTGCCCTGCCACAGAGGCTAGACCTCACCAAGTACCGGATGGTGCACGAGGGACCCGTCATGTGGAAGTTCAGTAACAAAGGAAAGCACGTGGAGCTGCACATGATCCTGCTGGAGGAGTTCATCGTGCTACTGCAGAAACAGGACGACAAATACGTGCTCAAATTCCACACCGTGACCGGGCGGGAGATCAGCCCCATCGTCAAAAACGAGAACATCCTCGTACGACCAATGGCCACAGGTGAGAATAGAGCGGGGCTGGAAGAGGGTGGAGAGATTGAACTGGCAGTCCGTGGTATGTGTCAGTTAAAGGGACCCTCCCACCTTCAAAAAAGCTTATGAATTGGCATGAAAGTGATGCCGCTCGGTTCAGAAAGAGCGAAAACGAATATCTACCAAATTTCACCGAAAAATATTCACCGGTTTTCAAGATATTATGCTTTTACTTTTGTTTACTTTTTTGGAATCTCCGCTGTTTCTAGCGACTTTATTTTAGAAGTGCGGCGTTTGCGGCAGATGTTGCGCGCAAATAGCATATACCACCGCGTGCTACAAAACGTTTTAGTCAAACATTTAAAAATCGTTAGATATCTGCGCTGACGTCACACATTCAGAGGGGTATTCCTAAGCATTAGCCCCTCTGAATCAAAATGCTGCAATTTTGAAATTCAATATTTCCGATTTAAGGCATTTCTCGATGTTGTGAGTGCCGAAACCGGTAATTGTGAGCCAGGGGCCCCATTTTGGCTATCTCAACTCAAATCTAATGTTAAGGTGGGAGGGTCCCTTTAACGTGTCCATGTTCGTTTTATGGTTTATGATTGCTCCATCTTCAGTCCTCCGTCATTTGTTTGTATCGGGCGTTTATGATGCTGTCATTGTCCGCAAATGTGTGTACGGTGTACCCCGTGGCATGCCGTCACTGGCCCCGGCTACTGCCAACGGAGCGTACTAAGAGACTCGCCACCCGGGCTGCACGGGAATCCCCAACGGTATTACTGCGTACCTGGACTGGCGCTCTTTCATAACAAATCAACTCCTTACAAGGGGCTTTCCAAGTTTGTGCTGTACTGTCTGGTAATCACCTCTTTTCACATCCTATGGTATTGTCATGGGGTCGTGCGGGGCGCATTTCGGAGGCCCGGCGGAGCTGACAGCCCCACCCGCACTGTACCCGGCCGACCTGTCAGCCCCCACACGCGCTGTGCCTGGCTGACCTAACAGCCTCAAGTCCCACACGCACTCTACCCGGCCGACCTAACAGCCCCCACACGCGCCCGGCCCGGCGTCTGTATGAGTAATGGTGTCTGTGTCGCTGGCGGCCATCCTACTACTTCGTTCGCGGTCGCTCCCACCGGGAGGCGTCAGGCTTCCACCGAGAGCCGTTTGTCACCTGGGGCGAAGGACGGACCGTGTTGTGGTGTGTAGCTAATGGGGAAGGCGGGTAGGCGGGATGGTCACGGGGTGGGACCTGGGATAGGAGAAACGCGGGTGTGTAGTGTGTACGCTGCGTGTGTATTTGTAGATGTGTTAAATGCGTGTGGTAGTTGGTGTACCGACTATTTGTGGCAATTTTCGGCTTACTTACTTTTACGTAATTACTTGATTATGTACTTTACGCTTTTACCTTCTAGAGATATTGCACACCCTCAGCCTTTCTTTGGCGTTGCCATCTTTGTTAATATATTTATGTTTTGCTTTCGAAGAATTATCATTCGAGTGTTACTTCCTCGCATTGTTAACATCCTGAGTCATTCAGTTTGTTCGTTAGCTAATGGGTTGTCTATCGTCGACAGGCTGTCAGTATTCGTCATCTCCCCTCCGTCATTGTTTGTTCCAGCCCACTGGCCACTTCGTCCGTCGCAGCCTCCCCACACGAGAGCCTCGCCCCCTCCATCGCCCGCTGACGCCCCTCCCCCTCCTCTGTTACAGAGAAACGCGCCTTCTTCATCCTCCATAATCTGAACGTGGGTCCTCAGATCTACGAACTACTATTCGCCAGCTCCAGCGAGCGAGACCAGTGAGTACGAGCGCCCTCTGTGGCCATCAGTGACCTCTCGCGACCCGCCAGAGAACGCTGGCGGCCTTGGGGAGGCAGCATGCCAGGCTGGGGTGACGGGGTAGCTGTAAGGTGAAAGGTCGTAGCCGAACAAGATCTGTGTCGTCTTGAGCGCAAGAATGCTGGTTGGACGGATAGGTGGCGGCTGACGCCGTTTTGGGTTTCTCTGAGATGGGCTCCAATGGTTCTTTGGTAACTATTCAGTGGAAAGATTTCGACGCCTCGGTCGCACCAGATAGTGTGAACACAATTGGGATTGTGTTGTTCCCCGAACTCCTCTCGGGCCGTCATCTGTTAGAGCCTCTCGGGCCGGTGGGTTCACCGGGCGTACCCAGAAGTCGTTGGGTTTCTGATGACCGCTTCACTCTCCACTTGGATAGCGCCGGTCGGCCCGTAACGACACGTTAACGGCAGGATAACGGCGTGATAACGGGTAAAGGCGCGTGAGACCTGGTCACAGTCTCTCGGTTGTTCTGTGTCTCGACCCAGTATCTCTAGATGGAGACTGGACTCAATCGTCAGTGAAGCCTGGTAACTTGAGGCTGGACCATGTCAGAGTGTCCCGTCCAGTACCGAGTGGTGATGGAGCCCTTTCCTCTCTGCCTGTGTGGGGTGCCCGTGCTCGTGAGTAGTGGGATGACTTCGTGGAAATCGTGTTGGGCAACCCCGCTGCAGCGCTTCAGAAATTGTATGATATAAATTTCGTTAGGTATTGAAGAGCTCCCAAGCGCACCGTCTCTCCAAAGGCAGGGTTGGCGATTAATGACGCGTGTTGGGTTTATTAGGGCCGGCTGAATGGAGCGCAGTGAGTGGTGTAACACTAGGGCGGATCACTGCCCGCGGGCGGACAGTATATGCCGGTCACGCGTGGGTCAGGTGCCGATATTGGTGATCGTGTGGGCTGATGGC